TTTGAGATGGGGTCTTGCTGTGTTGCCCAGCTGACCTCAAACTCCTGGGCTCGAGTGACCCTCCTGCCTCAGCCTCGGGGGCAGCTGGGACAGCAGCTGTGCACCACTGCACCTGGCCACCTCGATTTTGAAGAGGAGTGACAACAAGTAACACGTATGTCCTGCTGGGAAAGTGGGACACTGAGGAAAGGGTCCCACTCAGGGTGCCCTGGCCTCTATGTCCCCTCTTGTTCCGGAAAACAGAAGTGAGACCCTCCTCTGCCCTGGAGTGTGCCCCGCAGTCTACTTGGGCCACTCCTAGGGTCCTCACCACCAGAAATGTGACTACCAGGGAAAAGGAGCAGCCCATCCCCTTCGCCTGTACCCCGAGGCCATGCTGGCAGTGAGTGCCCCCCAGATCCTGCCTTGCCCTCCCTCCCTTGGCAGGCAAGGCTGGCTTCCCACCTTCCGAGTGGGCGAGACCTGGGGCTGGCACCAAGGTGCAGGTGTGAGGGGCACACTTGAGGGGCTGGTGTGGAAGGGCGTTCACTTAAGGGTGCCAGCAGCCACAGGGGGTTGGCCCACGTGGTGAGGGTGCCTTCCCCAGCAGACATGCCGGGAGCGGGTGTCCAGCCCCAGCTGAGACTTGGGCTGATGCAGCCTGTGACCCTAACTGCCCTGGTCTGCCACTCCAACTCCTGACCCTTGGACGTGGTGAGATGATAACTGCTTGCTTTAAGCCACTGAGTTCTGGGGTGATTTCTTATGAGGGACAGGAAATAAACATGTGTCCTACGTCTGAAGATCTCGCCACCAGGCCCCACGGCCTGCTGGGTGGAGCAGCCCAGGCTGGCTGCCACCCAGCCCCTCTCCCAGAGCCCAGGCTTCACTGCTAGACTGGGATGGGGCAGCAACAGTCCACACTGCCGTTCCATGGGGCCTATGCTGCAGAAGAGGCAGGACAGATCCGTGCCTCAGATCCTCCCAAACTTACCTGCCCCTGCGCGCTCAGTTCTGAGCCCCACTGGTCACCCTCATCACAGAAGGTCCCAGAACCATGGAGCAGGCTTGCCAGCTTCCTCGGAGGTCCGGACCTGAGAGACAAGCCTCCTGCCACCGCCCCCCCCCCCCCCCCCCCGCAAGTGTCCAGGAAGAAGGCACTGCACCCGCAATAGCATGCAGGCCTGAAGAAGAGCTGAGGGTCCCAGGAGCCTCACCGCCTGCCGTTGGACTCCCTGTCACTCACCTCTGTGGCTATATGGTCACACCCATCCAGGCCAGTGACTCCTCCCAGCCCATAGGGAAGGCATGACCCAGTGAGGCTGAGGGAGCCCTGCTCCCACTGAGGCCCAGTCTCCTCATCTGTAACGAGGGAGGGAGGGCGGGCCCCTCAATGGAATGCCGAGTCCCAGGTGTGGCCAGGCGGTGGACACCAACATGCCCAGTGCTCCCAGCAGCAGTGATCCTCAGACAGAGGAGGCCTGTTCTCAGCCTGTGTCCCTAGAAGTCTCTGGGGGCTGGGCCCTTGGGTCCCCACCTTGCTTGTGCCCACTCATGGCCTTCCAAGCACAGCACAGCAGAGGGCACATGCCAGGCTCAGAAGATGGCAGGGAGGCCAGCAGGATTCAGCCCCCACCTGACCCTGAGGGTGGAGCCACAGTGCAGGGTGGACAGGGCGTGGGGAGGGGCTAGTGGACTCCAACTCGGGCCCAGGAGTCCACACCTGGGTGTGAGCAGTGTGGGGACAAAGACGGGAAGCGAACAGGTGAGAAGAAAGTGGGGTTTCCTCAGTGGACTGTAGGAAGGGCCATGGAGAGAGGCTTCAGGGCTGCCCGGAGGGAGGACGCACCTCACAGGTGAGGGTTAGAGGCCAAGCCCCAGGCCTAGGTGGGCCACAGCACCCAGGACAGGACACCCACACTCTCCTGCTGTTGCTCCCCTCCCCACTTTAGCCGGACAGCTGGCCCCAGCCTCCTGGGTTCCCTGCTCCAGAGTCCCTCCTGCCCACTTCTGCCTCCCCATGACAGGTGAGGGAGAGGTCACTGCTGCCAACAGGACCTGGCCATCCTATGTCAGCATCTGCCACCCAACCAGGCACAGCACAGCCCACACCATGCACCCAACCCTCACCCACCCACACCACATGCCACACCCGCAGAGGGCTGCAGCACAGGTGTGTCCAGCCGGGATGGGCCCAGGTCCGGCTTCTCCCGCAGTCTCCTCTGCCCACTGCCTGGGCTGCAGCTCAGTGGGAGGGCCAGGCAGCTGTTGGGTCTGTGTTTATTTTCCTGGGAGTATGGAGAGGGTTTGAGGGAAAGGCCTTGGAGAAGGTGCATGAAGGGGAGGCAGGGCTGGGCTCAGACCTGGGCCACAGTGTGACCCTTTCCAGACTGTGCTGGTGATGGCTGCTTCTCACCACCCCTGCAGAGGCCTGGAGTCTGTGCAGAGGTGTGGCCCCGGGCGGTGGGGGGGGGGGGGACGGACAGGCTGTAGCAGTTGTGTCACCAGATCCTCTGGACTGGGAGCCCTCAGGCGGCAGCAGCAGGAGCCAGGCAGTTGGGGACCCCAGGAAGGGAGCCATGGCTCAGTGGAACGTCTGTCCCTGGACTCAGCTTGCTTCACCTGACCTGGTCTGTCTCAGCCCCAGTCCAGTCTATGCGGCATCAGCTGGTTCAGGGTGGTACAGCCAGGCGTGGAGGGCAGGTGAGTAGGCTGGGACCTGGAGGTTGGGGGACCCCAAGGACTCAGGGTGGGGTCTGCATGGCTCTCCAAGCCTAGAAGATTCCCTGACACCTGATAGGAGTGAAGCCGGTCCTTCCACCCTCCCTGAGGTGGCTGCTGGAATCACTGTCAGGAAACTCTCCCAGGTTTCAAGATCCTTTCTGGAGACGCAGTCAGAGCCTGGCTCCCAGCCTTCTGCAGATGACACTGGCTCAGGGATGGTCCACACATACTGTTTCCAGGGATGCTGCTCTAGGAAAGGCAGGGCCACCCTCCAGGCTGTCCCCACCCCTGGGCTGCAGCCACTGAGGCTCCTCAGAGCACATTCAGGACCTGACAGGACCTGTGGCTGTGACCTGGAACAGGAGGGCAGGGCTGGTGGACTGTGGTGGCAGTGCTGGGGAGCTGCCCCTTCACCAGGATGGCTCTCCCTCTTCAAATAAAGGGAAGCCTGGCTGGGGTTTAGCTTGGGGCCACTGTGTGGGAACTGACACTGGAGCCGTGCCTGGAGTGGGTGCTCCCAACACCACCCAGAGCTGGGCAGCAGACCTCTCCATTCTCCCTGGTGGCTCCAGCCACACCCACCGGATGTGCCCATGGGCTCTAGGCCCTGGGATGGGAACTGAGGCCTGCTGGCATCACTGCCTCTAATGAACACAGGGAAGGCAGGGGAGGGCTTGACATCTCCCCTGGGTACCTGATCCCAGACCCGAGGTGCCCTCCGGGGCTGTGTGTCAGGTGCAGCCTGGCCATCCAAGACCCAAGTCCAGGTACGGGCCTAGAGGCCTTACCAGGTGCTGGGCACCCAGTGGGACCTTTCTGAAGTCTGAGCATTTAAAAGACACTGCATACTAATAGGCAGTTAGTGAGGTTCTAAACAACTTAGTGAGATTCTGTCTCAAAATAAAAAATAAAAAGAACTGTGGATGTAGCTTAGTGGTAAGGGCCCTGGGTTCAATTCCCAGCAACAAAAAAGTAAACGAAATAAAGAGCAATAGACCTTACTGTGCTGGACATCTCAAGATGTTAGGGCACCAGACAGTGGGCTCTGGGGCCAAGGCCAATGCCATGCTGCCCTCCCTTTACTGAGCCAAGAGGGTGGCCACCACCCACTCTCTCCCGGATCCCCATCCTGGTGTTGGGATCTTTCTGCTAAAGTCAAGTTACCCACCTCAGGCTCCTTAGCCTCAGAAGACCTGGAGTGCTCCCATGGTCCCCAAGGATGGCAGAGGACAAATGGTATTCCAGGTCCAGGCTGAGAAAGGCCAGTTCCCTGGCACCTCCTCAAACCTTAGCACCGATCAGCTACTTTCATGGTGCCAATAAGAAAACTGGGCCTAGACACACCCACAGAGGACAAATGTGGACTCCCTCAAGCTGGAAAGAGCCCCTTGGCCTTCCAATCCTACTCCTTCCGGGGGGGGGGGGGGGCTGGGGGCAGCTCCGTGGTTTTGGGCAGGGAGACAGGGGCGGAGGGTCAGGGCTGGGGTTTGGGACTTTATCTGGTGTCGCAGAGGGCAGAGCTACTGAGGAAAGGGAAGTTGAGAGGGGCTGAAGGCCTTGCCCAAGATTGCCCAAGCTGTAACCGCCTGCACCAGCACCGGCACGGCATGGCACGGCATGGCACGGCACGGCGCCGGCACCGGGAGCAGGCGGCAATACGGATGCGCGCAGGTCCGACGCGCGGCCTCAGGGAGCCGGGCGTGGGGCGGAGGGCTGGGCCAGGCGGTGGGACGGTGGTGGGTGTGCGCTCCTGTCTGCTAGAGGGCGCGCCCCGGGAGTGCAGGACGAGAGGTCCCAGTCCTGGAGGTCGCAGGGACGCGGCCATGCTCCTGTCAGAGTTGGAGCAGAAGCAAACCGTGGTCTTGGGAGAGGAAATGAAGTGGCCGCGTCTCAGCCGGCGGGAACTCCTGGCCCAGCGCCAGAGGGAGGCTGCCGGGCGGCCCGGGGAGGGGCGCAGAGGAGGCGGACCGGCCGGCAAGAAGCGCGTCCCGGCAGGGGTCGGCTCGGGGAGCACGGACAGGGCGGGCCGCGGCCGGGTGTCCGTGGGCCCGGCGGGGCTGGCAGGCCTCGGGCCGCGCCGTCGGGGAGCGGCGGCGCGCGGGGTCCGGGCGGGGCGGCAGGGGCGGCGCCAGGCAGCGGTGACGTGCGCAGGGGACGTGCCGCGCGAGCGACGAGAGCACTTAAAGTCGCCCCCGGCGCGGCGCCTGGCAGCCGAGTCGGGCAGCGGCGGGCGCGGCGGCCGAGCGGCGGCAGGTAGGCGCGGCCGGGATGCTGGGCGCGCGGGCGGAGGCCGGGACTCTCCGAGTCGCTGGTGGGCTGAGCTGGCGCCGCGCGTCGTCCTCCTCCGGGCCGCGGCTTCCCGCCCCCTCGCCCCTTCCCCTCGCGGTCTACCGGGCTCTGGGGGCGTCTCGGCTTAGACGAGCCTTCCCGCCCCTCTTGCCCCCCCAAGAGCTCCAGGCAGCCAGCTGTGTGCCTTCCAACCCCAGGCGCCCAGCTTTGCCTCCAAGCCCGCCTGGCACCCATCCGTCGGGCGGCCCTCGGGGACTGGGCTCTGGCCAGGAGGTGATAGCGCCGGGCAGCAGAGCTGGTCCCGAGTATAAATAGCTCGGTGTGCGGGCAGCCCGGGCCAGGGCCGCGGGCTATATTTGGTGGGGCCACCTCCCTGAACGGTGCACGTGCGTGCCAGGCCTGGACCCTGGGGAGGGAAGCCCTCGGATCTTCCTTTCTCGCCCCTCCTTGTCCTCTTACTATGTCCCTAAATTCACCATTACACACCCACGCTCCCTCCGGGGCCAAAAGCCAGCAGGCTGGATACAGGTGGGACAAGAAGTGGACTAGCCTCCCAATTCCCCAGCCTGAGTAAAAACTAGGAGGAGTTTTAGTTTTCTTATCTGAAAAGTGGGTTGATTACTAGCTGGATGCTGGGCCCATCAAGAGCAGGCACCTAGTGGAAGGAAAGCCCTTAGCTCTGGGCTCAGTGGGTGGGTCTGGGTTTGTGGACTGGTGTGTGTGTGGCACCTGGAGTCTGGGTTAGTGACAAAGGGGCAGCTGAGGGCCATATCCCAGAGGCACCGGGCTGCCTGTCTAGGCCACCCAAGCTGACAGAATCACTCTGATGACCAGAGTCAGGACCACTTGGTAGGCTGAGGGGACTTGTCCAAAGCTTAGAGCAGACGGGTGCTGGTGGGGATGACGGGGGTGGGAGGAGCTGGCGGGTGTCCAGAGGTCCTCAGCTTCGTTTTACAGGCCCAAGAGCTGGCTGGTGTCTGGTGGATGGGGAGAGGGATGGGGACAATCCCACAAGTGCCTGGGCTCTCGGGTGGGCAGGTGTGTGTGTCTTAAGTCGGTGATGGGGGCAGGTTTGCTCCCAACAGAACACTAGAGGCACTGCACTTTCCTGCCCAGGGCTCTGGTGTGGTCAGAGCCTCCTGTGGCCATTGGGAGGCCTCATCCCAAGACAGACTCCCTGGGTGACCTTGGGTAGTGCCTGCTACCCAGAAGGCATCTGGCCCTCAATGCCCACAGCATGGATACCTATTTTGGAGGGACAGGAGAGGGCTCTGTTGACCCCAAGCAGCCCTCTAAGAGTGTGTACGGAGGGGGCCTGTGGGTGGGACCCCACAGCATGCCATGTGCCGGGCTTATGGGCTCCTGGGTTGTCCTGCGGTGACCTGACAGTGTGGGAAGGGAGGGGCCAGTGAGGAGCCAAGTGCCAGCTGCACCTAAGGCCCGGGGCGGGGCCTTCTGCATGGTGGTGCTGAGCAATTGGAGGCACCTCTGGATCAGGCCCTGGGCCACCAGGCACTGGGCCCTGGCACAGGGGCGGGGCCTGCGGTCCCAGCCTCAGTCTCCATCTGTGGGAAGGGTCCCACGAGGCAGTCCTACGCACCCAGGCTGCGCGCCCCTGGCCAGAGTTCGAGTCTTGGCCAGGATGCGAAGCTCTTGAGTTTAGGAATCAGCGGCCCCCAGCCGGGCGCACCCGTCCTGCCTGTGCGGAGCACAGAAGAAGCCGCCCCAGCCCTAGGGGGCGCGCACCGCAGGGGGACGCGCGGTCCCTGCGGTGTGCGGGGCCCCGGTGGACGCTCAGCGCTGTACTGCTGCTGGGCCGACCCCAGTGGCACCCGCGCTGGCTAGTACGGTAGCGGAGGAAGGGCGCCTACTCCAGGCAATACGGCGGCGGCTCCTCCCTTGGCGCGGTCACGTCCCCCACGTCCCGCGGCCGGCCGCACGGGCGGAGCATCCTCCCCTTCCCCCTCCCGGCCCAGCTCCGGTGGGACCCGCCCAGAGTGGCCGACCCCCACCCGCCAGCCGGGCGGGCGGCAGGAGCCAGCAGGCCCGTCCATCGGAGGAGGGCCCTCGCCTCGTCTCACCTCTTCCCACCTGTCTCGCTCCACGCCTGATCCTGGGTGGGCGGGCACCTCCGGAGCGCTGGCCTTCAGGCGGAAGGCTGCACGGGAGTGGAGGAATGGGTCCAGATGGCCAGGGGAAGGGGCAGCCCATGCAGGGTCCCGCAGGCTTTGGTGTTGGGGGAGGGCAGCTCTGCGCTCACCCCAACCTCCACAGCAGCCTCAGCCACTGACCGCAGCCTTGCTGAGAAGCTAGACCAGATCACCAGGGCTGTCCACTGTGTGGCAGCCAAGGGTAGAAGCCTCCTTGTAGGAGGTGGGACTTGAGGGCGCCATCCCTGGGGCCACACTTCTGGGGGTCCTAGCCGAGATCTGTACTCAGCCAGTTGCTAGCCTTGGGTGGCAGTATCCAGCCTGGCAAATGAGGCCAGTGTTTCCACCCCACTGGCCCCGCGAAGAGGATGTGAGTGGACAAGTGGGAGCCTGCAGGGGTAGGAGGCAGGCAGCGGACCCAGGGCGGAGGGCCCAGGCCAGCCCCCCCACCCCACCCCGACCAGCCTTCTGACCTCTCCCTGGAAGCAGCCCCTGCCCCTGTGTGTCTCTGTACTGGTGGGGACAGGGCTGAGGGTGCTGGCTTCCTCCGGCAGGGAGGGGCACAATGCTGGTTACCTGATTATTTATTTATTTATTCTTAGTTTTCGGTGGACACCACATCTTTATTTTTATGTGGTGCTGAGGATCGAACCCAGCGCCCCGCGCATGCCAGGCGAGCGCTACCGCTTGAGCCACATCCCCAGCCCTGGTTACCTGTTTTCACAACAGTGTCAATGAGGGAAGGAAGAATGGGAACCCGGAAGCAGGCCCTCCCTCTCCCTGATTCAGCACCTCCAACCCTCAAAGGCCAGGTCCTAGCACAAAGGGACTGCTTCCTTGGTTCTCAGGGGTCTGGAATTTGATTGAAGGAATATAATTGTCCCTGTGCCTGCCACCTGCCTGGGCTACAAAGGCAGGGAGGTTGCAGGGACCTGGCCTGCACTCCTGGGGCTGACAGTCCAGCCTAAGGATTCAGGCTGCTGAAGGGTGAGGTTTCTGGGGAGGCGAAGAAAGCGCAGGCTGGGGCACAGGGTTGTATGTGGGAGGCATGCAGTACAGGCAGAGGGGAGAGTACAGGGGCCCCACAGCCCTGACTTGGGAGGGTACCCTGGAGTCTCCCCGAGGGCCAAGGTTCTCCATGTACCCCTGCCATGAACTGTCCCCTGTCAGCTCCTGGCGGTCTGGGGTATGGGGCCTTGGAAGGACCTCCAGGGATCAGCCCTGGGGAGTACCTGGAGCTCCTGCTAACCCAGATGCAACCCAGGGAGATCAGCTTTCTGTAACCCAGAGGCCAGTTTATTTCTGGGCTGGTTCACATGCTTCCCTGGGAGGGTAAATGTCACCAAAAGGCCAGGCGGCTGGACGTGCCCATGGATATGCTGTGGGAGAGGGACCATGGTGGGTGCTGCTTCCTCCTCTGGGTGGAGACAGATGGATAATTAGCCTGCACACACCTCAGCCTATCTATGCTCAGGGTCCCTGGGAGGTGGAGCCACGGACTTGCTCCTCCCGAGCAGCCAGGTGTAAGAGGTCCCAGACCCTCACTCCACCTACCCTGCCCCAAGCCTGGCTGGCAGACAGCCAGCTTAAAGTCAACCTCTGGTCTGAAAAACCACAACCTTGCTGAGGCCTCACTCTGCAGCGTCTCTGGGTGACAGGCTGGAGTAGGCACTGACTGGTGAGGCCATTTCAGGGTGCCTGAGCTGGGTGGCAATGGACCACAGTGCTGGGCCTTGGTTGGGAGCTTGTGCCCCAGGCGCCACAATCTCCGTGGCACAGACGGTCTTCCACGTGTGACCCTCCTTGAAGGGCCTAGAACATGCTGTGCTCTCCTGGCCTGAGTCCTGGCACCAGCCCACCCTCTGCCTGCCTTCCCAAGCCACAGCCCAGGGGTGCTCTTCTCCAGCAGGTGGCAGATGTCTCTGCTTCCCAGCAGTCCCTACTGCCTCCTGAGGACCCTGGATGCCTCCAAGAGGGCCCAGCCCCGGTGGGCAGTGGACAAGCAAGGGGGACTTCAAAAGGCTGGGGTGCCTGTGATTCCCCTAGCAGGACTGGGCAGGGCTGGTACAGCCCCAGCTGCCTCACTCTCTTTCTGGGGAGGACCCTGGGCATGTGGGGTCGGGCTGCTCCTGTGGCCATTACTGAGCACTCCCCTCCTGGACTTTGCAAGGCCCTCGATTCATTCATTTAATTTTTGCAGTACTCACGTGTGCTAGGCCAGGACTCTGCACTGCGTCCCAGCCTGCCTGACTCGTTTCAGAAAGTGCTATAAGCATCCAAGGCCACACTCCAAGCAAGTGGGGGCTGGCAGGGACAATCGCCCCTCCCACATTGGCTCCTTCGCAGTGAGTGGTCCCTAGGGTGACTGGTCAGCTCCCTGCTGTGTGGGCTCTTAGGTCTTTTACCTAGGCACTAAGATGGCACAGTGATCCCGCCCTCAGTGCCCCTTGCAGTGTGTCCTCACTGTGCATGATGTTCCTCCTTTGGCCCCACTCCCGGCTGGGGGTCTCAGCTGGGCACAGCATCATAGAACTGGTGTGGCCCCTGCAGGGGGGTTGGGGGGACGGGGAACCCAGCTGAGTGCAGTCTCTGGCATGCCTGAAGGTATCCCCTGGGGCCCGATTTTCAGGAAGACGCGGGGAAGGGGGTGGGGTGGGGCCCAAGCCTATCCCGCCCCCCCCCAGGTACCTGCCGCAGGGGCGGTCACACCATGGACAATGGCTAACCTGACACACCAGGGCTGCACTTTCTTCCCCAGAGAGCTGGCTGGCTGCACACCACTGGTGGGAGACGCTGCGCAGGCTAGGCTGAAGGCCTCGGGTTCCAGACACCCAGGGACACAGACCCTGTCATAACTCTCTCCCTGGTGAGGTGGGGGATGTGGGATTGGCAACTTCCAATGGGATGGGATGGGAAGGTGGAAATCTGGTCCCAACATTCTGACTTAGTCTGTCTTAGAGGAGCTAAGCTCCTGGAATTTACAAGGGAAGTCAGCCCTGGGCCTGCGTGGGGCTTAGGACAATCCGCTCCTTGCCCTGGCAGCCTTGGGGGGGCCAATGGAAGCCTCCTCCTGACCTTCCTGGGTATACCGTAAGGTGCCCTCATCTGACCTATCAGGTCGGAACCCTTGGCCTCTCCCCAACCCCAATCTGGCTTGTTCCCATATGAAGGCCTCTGCCCTGTACAGCCAGGAAGCTGAATAGGGGTGTGGTGAACAGGGGCAGGGAGCCTGACTCTTTTGGGGGCAGGAGAGCAAGGGTAAGCCTGGCCATCTTATCTAGACAGCGGGGCAGAGGTTGGCAGCACCCTCACACGCCCTCCAGGGGAGGGTTTGGCATGGCCCGAGGAGGGGGAGGGATGTTACATGCCAGTTCCTGCAGGCTGAATGCAGCGGGCCACAGGGGCAGGACACACACCAGCCAGGCTGTCCACCCAGCGGGGTCTGCACTTTCCAGGAAGCAAAAGTCCTGGCTGAGCCCAAATCAGCCCTTGCCCTTCAGAAAGCCAGCCGCAGGAGCAGGAGGCTGGGGAGGGGTGGGTGCAGCAGGGCAGGCTGCCCACGGAGCCCTGCAGCCATGAGTGCAGTGCTAACCCTTGCCTGCCCCTGAGACTCTGGGCTCATTCACCCAACCCAGCCCTGCTTCCTCTCTCCCCAGGTGCGGCAGAAGCAGCCCTTCTGGCCATGGGAGGAGCTGTGGTGGACGAGGGTCCCACGGGCGTCAAGGCCCCTGATGGGGGCTGGGGCTGGGCCGTGCTCTTCGGCTGCTTTGTCATCACGGGCTTCTCCTACGCCTTCCCCAAGGCGGTGAGCGTCTTCTTCAAGGAGCTCATGCGGGAGTTCGGGATTGGCTACAGCGACACAGCCTGGATCTCCTCCATCCTGCTGGCCATGCTGTACGGCACAGGTGAGGCCGTCGGCTCAGGGGCCACCTGTGGCAACGCCTGGGACAGGCTGGCCAAGTCCTCGTGGCCACAGGAGCCCAATGGGTGGGGCTTGTCCCAGGGTTGAGCCCAAACCATTGCAGATCCACGGTGGCCTAAAGGGAGCCCTTGAGATGGGGACCTGCTAGAAAGCAGTCTGTCTCCACCCCGTCCCAACATGTGGGTTGTTCAGACAGTCCCAGAGGGCGAGGTCGCGGGGAGCCCTCCTCTGAACCACGGCTAGTCCTCGATGACCTGCCCAGGCCTACCAGACCATCATGGGAATACGCCCCATGGGTGGCTGGGCTCTGCCCTTGGGGAACCTGGTCTGTGGGCTCCTGGCATCCCTGCTGAGTTGAGGTGGCATTGGGAGAGGCCCTGGGCACTGGACAGGCACAGCCCAGCTGGAGGCCGGGGCAGCCCCTCCTCAGCAGCCGCCTCCCCGCAGGCCCCCTCTGCAGCGTGTGTGTGAACCGCTTTGGCTGCAGGCCTGTCATGCTTGTGGGTGGCCTCTTCGCGTCCCTGGGCATGGTGGCTGCCTCCTTCTGTACGAGCATCATCCAAGTCTACCTCACCACAGGGGTCATAACTGGTGAGCAGGGCCTGGCCGGGAGCTTCTGGGGGTGGGATCTGGGGGAGCAGTGAGCACAGCCCAGGGGCAAGCAGCAGGGGTTCCTGTCAGACCACACACCACAGGGCCGGGGTGGAGGGCGGGGGCAGGGATGCAAGTCTGGGGCCGGGGAGGGTCTCACCCTGCGCCTGCGCCTGCCCCTGCCCCTGCAGGCTTGGGCCTGGCTCTCAACTTCCAACCCTCCCTCATCATGCTCAACCGCTACTTCAACAAGCGGCGCCCCATGGCCAACGGGCTGGCGGCCGCGGGCAGCCCAGTGTTCCTGTGTGCGCTGTCGCCGCTGGGGCAGCTGCTGCAGGACCGGTACGGCTGGCGGGGTGGCTTCCTCATCCTGGGCGGCCTGCTGCTCAACTGCTGCGTGTGCGCTGCGCTCATGAGGCCCCTGGTGGCACCCCAGCCGGGCGGGGCACCAGGCCCCCAGCGGCCTGCCCGGCGCCTGCTGGACCTGAGCGTCTTCCGGGACCGTGGCTTCGTCATCTACGCTGCCGCCGCCTCCATCATGGTGCTGGGGCTCTTTGTACCACCTGTGTTTGTGGTGAGCTACGCCAAGGACCTGGGTGTGCCCGACACGCAGGCTGCCTTCCTGCTCACCATCCTGGGCTTCATCGACATCTTCGCCAGGCCCACAGCTGGATTCATCACCGGGCTCAAGAAGGTGCGGCCCTACTCGGTCTACCTCTTCAGCTTCGCCATGTTCTTCAACGGCTTCACCGACCTGACGGGCTCCACAGCCAGCGACTACGGTGGCCTGGTGGTCTTCTGCATATTCTTCGGCATCTCCTACGGCATGGTGGGGGCCCTGCAGTTTGAGGTGCTCATGGCCATTGTGGGCACCCATAAGTTCTCCAGTGCCATTGGCCTTGTGCTGCTGCTGGAGGCTGTGGCTGTGCTCATCGGACCCCCGTCGGGCGGTGAGTACTGCTGAGGGCAAAGGCTGGCAGGCCCTGGGCTTCCTAGGGACTCACTGTGGGCCCTGGTCAGGAGTGAGCAGCGGGCCCTGAGCCGGGCAGGAACACCCCAGGCCTGGCAGCTGCTTTCAGGCCATCTGCACACAGAGGGACGGCTTGCTGGGGGCCAATCCAGTGCTTGAAACTCTGGGCCTCTACCGAGGAAACTCCCAGTGGGATCTGGAAAGTCCAACTGGAGGGCAGCATGGCCAGGCCCTGGCTCAAGGAGAGGTCACTTGGCATGCCCTAGCCCCTTTAGCCCCCTGGCTGTTCCTTTTCCCCAGAAGGATCCTGAGGTGGGGTGGGGTGGGGTCGGAGGCCACACAAGTGGCCCTCCCTGTCTTGGGGTTGCTTGGTCACAGGGCACAGGGCCAGGCTGAGTCCATCAGTGCCCCTCCAGAGTGGGCAGCAGGGCCACACCTGGGTACTCTGCAATGCCACTTCTGCTTTTAGGGTCTGTCTCTACTCTCCTGAGAGGAGGCAGGAGGGAGGTGGGGACGGCAGGAAGACCTCAGAGGGCCTCGGGGGAGGGAGAGGGGGCAGTTCTGCAAGTCAGACACCACAGGGGCTTCTGTAGGAGCCTGGCCCTGGGCTGTGCCGTGCCCTTGGAGCAGCTGGTGACCCAAGTCCCCCTGCAGGCAAGCTGCTGGACACGACCCACGTCTACAAGTACGTGTTCATCCTGGCGGGGACTGAGGTGCTCACCTCCTCCCTCGTGCTGCTGCTGGGCAACTTCTTCTGCATCAGGAAGAGGCCCGAGGCGTCACAACCTGAGGAGGCTACCTCGGAGGCAGAGAGGCTCCACAAGCCCCCCACAGATGTGAGGGTGGACTCCCGGGAGGTGGAACACTTCCTGAAGGCAGAGCCTGAGAAAAACGGGGAGGTGGTCCACACCCCGGAGACCAGCGTGTGAGTGGCCTGGCGGGGCTGGCAGGGTGCAGGGAAGAGCTACAGAGACTGGCAACGCTTGTATTTATTTCACAAACAGGACCAGCTTAGGCAGGGCCACTGGCTCAGCGCTGGATGCTGGACATCGGGTCATCACCTGACCTGTGTTTTGCGGGGAAGGTGGCGGGGTGGGAACGTGTCATTCCACAGCGGATCTGCGGTGAAGCCAAGCCCATGGTTACAAGCCGCCTGCTCACCCCAAACAGCCCATGCCCCCCCCACGTGGTCAAGGACCTAGAAGCCCAGGCTTTGAGACAACATGACTTTAATAGGAGGGCGGGCTGGCGAGCGGACACCTCCCCGAGGCCTTCCCTGGTGCCTGTCTGACCCTCCGCCCTGCCCTCGCCTCCTACGGTGCCCACCCCTCTCTGTCTAGGGTACAAAGAGCTCATTCCACCCGTGAAGGTGCGAAATAAACCGGCGTGTGGCAGGAGTCTGGGGGCCTGGTCCTCGGAGCTACGTGTGGTGTGTGCCGGTGTACCCTCAGCTCGTTTGGGTTTGGAAATGACCTGGTTGTTCTTACAAACTGCTCTGGTCCTTGTCAGTTTTCCTACTGCTGTCTGCTCTGGAACATTCCCTGAGCAGCGACTGTGTTCACAGGGCACAGACGGTGGAGAGAAGGGGGCAGGCAGGGAGGGGGCTGCAAGCTAGAGGGGTCCCCAGCTAGGTGCCTGGACCCGCAGGACCCAGTGTGGTGCGAGGGCTGAGTGGAGGTGCAGTGGGAGCTGTTTCCTGCGTGTGGCCTCAAAACACACTTTCCTGCCTTCCATTTATTTGTCCCCTGGTTGGCTGGTAGATTTGCTCTATGTGGCCAGCGCCTGCTCATCTCTGCTCCCCCTCCTCCTCCTCCATCCAGCCCGTGCTCAGCGCTCGGGCTTGCCCTGGGCACCTCACACCCACCTGCCCTTGTGGCCAGCGGCGGCCTGCGTGGCTGGGAGCCTGGTCAGAGGCAGCTGAAGCCCCTCAGTAGGTGGTGCGTCGTGGGCGCTGGGGACGGCAGCGGGCACCCTGACGGGCCGCGTGCAACCGAAGAGACGCCATGTCCCTGCTCCTCTGCAACGAAAAGGAGGCGAGAGCTCACGTCTCAGGCCCAGTCTCTCCTCTGTCCCAACCTCGCTTCGTTGGGCCCGGGCCCTGGCCCTGTCCAGTTCTGTGAGGAAGCCAGGGGCAGTTTCATCTGCTGGCAGCCCTGATATAGTCCCATGGCTCTGGGGTGCCCTTCCCTTCTCTGGTCTTCCTGTACCCTAAGTCAGGGGCTTGGCTGGTGGGCAGTGCTAGCAGCTGTAGGGGTGATGGGCTAGCCCAGATGGCCATACATGTCCCCAGGTTATCAACCTTGCCACATGCAGTGGGAACAGTGGGAACCCCAGGCCTCAGGACAGGATGAGTCCAGGCCATGGCCATAGGCAATCTCCAGGAACCAGAGGGCGGCACAAAACATGGGGAGCGGGTGTAGGAAAGTGTAGAGCCTCGGTGGCACGTAGCCAATGCTCCCCTCTCTCAGGCACCCCCACTCAGGGCCCCTGGGGGCCCCAAGACCTGCTTTCTTCCCTCCTGGACCTGGCTGCCCCTGGAACTATGGCAAGAGCTGATCCACCACCAGTGATTACCCTCTCCTGGTTCCTGAGTCTCCCACCTACAGCGGGCCCTCTTCCCCTGGGTGACCACAGCAGGGCGCAGTGCCCCTGCTCCAGGGCTGTCAGGCCTTTCCCTCCTGTCCCACACTTACACCCAGAGCACGTGGCCAGGGCATAAGAGAGCCAGGAAATGGTGATTCCTGAAAGTTAGGCTTTGGGGACCCGAGTGATTCTGAGATGGTCAGGACGTTGGGATGCTCCCTGGGAAGACGACTGCAGCTCAGCTGGGAAGGACCCACTGCGGGTTTCCCCTTTCCCGGGGAAGGCAGCGTGGCCCTGAAGCCCTCCAGACCTATGAGCCAGTGGTTCCAGATGGTCTCCAAGCACAGGGAAAGGGACACTTCACATCCTTAAGCTGTGGCTGCTAGGCAGGTGATACCGATGCTGACCAGTGGGCAAGGTATGTGGCAGAGGGTCAAAAGAGTCAAGGAAGGCCCCAAATACCCTGGAAGAAGCTGGGGCACACCAGGACATGGGCTATGACCAGGGCTGCGCCACAGGGAGGATCTAGGCAGCAGAGTAGCTCACATGCAGCACCCTGTGAAGGCCAACCCCGAGCAGCACATCCATCCGGCCCATGCCAAGTGCGCTCACGCAGGCCTGGAGAGCACAGACATCCCCTGGTCCCCTGCCTGACCACGTGCTGGGGGTGCAACTCTGATCCCTGCCCTCATGCTCTCCTGGGCCGCCCCCTCCTGGGCCTCTACAAAGAACTCCCAGGTCCAGGCATGCGTGGGACCCAGAGAGGGCCTTGGTGGCTGGGGGACACCATGTCCTGAACCCCCGAGAGGCCCACTGTGGGGCTCAACACTGCAGCCTGGCCTCAGGTATGCAGAATCACAACCAGCTCCTCCTCACCTCCAGCATTGGCACCCTTATAGGTTCATGGCACCCAAATATGGATGGCTGCAGAGGCAGTGGGTGAACCACCACCCCATGCCTTCTGGTTCTGCTTGGGGAAGGTGCCAGCCTGGGCAGAGCTGACAAAAGTGTCTTGCCCCACAGCCAGGGAGGGGAGGGACAGGGAGATACCTGCCAGCACCTCCAGGAACCCTGTGAGGCAGGAATGACCAACTTGGGATGTCTGGGGAACAGGAAGGCTGCAGGGGGCTGGGAAAAGGCAATTCAGGCCAAGGGCCAGGCGTTCTGGTTATGGGCGTCTAGCTGGGGTGAGATGGCAGGAAGGCACTGCAGGAGTCTAGCAGGACTGCAGGGGAGCTCCCCTCTGGCACATGCGCACATGCCTGCACAGGGCTTATCTGTTCCTGGCTCCAGCAACCTCCAGTGGGTGGACTAGGAAGTCCTGTCCACACCTGACTGCTGCAAATGCACCCTGACTCAGGGGAGCCTGGCTGCTGCCTGCAGAAAGGCAGACCAGGAGGTTAGGAGAGGCCTGGGCACAGCTCCAGCAGCAACAGCCTGATGCCCACCCTGAGAAGGTATGTTGTGGTGAAGGTGTACGCCCTCTCCCTGCACCTATGGGAATTTGAGTAGCAGTCACCCTATGGAAAATGCTGTCCACTGTGGTGTTCACCAGTCATCTTGCTAGCTTGCTCATTGTCTACTTTCCAGAAAGCCTGAGGTGCTGGTGTGCTTCTGGCCAACGTAGCCCCTGGGGCATGGAGGTCACGGGACTATCTCCAAAAGGGCACTAGGCTGGAGAGGGGCCTTTGGAATCACTGCATGCACCCCCCGCTCCAGCTCACACCCACCACAGTCCACTCTGGGGAGGTGGGAGGTGTCCTTCTGGAGCCTGCTCTAAGCAGGTCCTCAACACCACAGGCTAAGAGGACAAGCAGACTGCCACCCTCCCTGTCAGTTTCCCATGGTCAACCTGAACCCTTGGAAAACTCAGCTGATGAAATAAAGACCACTCAAAAGGGGCTGGGAACAAAGGTAGAAGTCATTATGAATTTATTATTTACATAATTGTTAAAGTACACAAATACAGCGGTAGTACAAATGCACAGCTCAGAGACTGGTCACAAGACACAGGATGATACACACTCAACTACGCTGCCTGCCAGTGATGACGGGGTTACATACTGGCCGAGAACTGCAACAGCCACACCTGAGGGATCAGGACGGGTCTGCTCCCAGTGCAAGCCAGCAGTCCCAGGCCAGGCCTGGTGCAGGGTTGGAGGCTGCCTGCCACCAGCCTTCTGGAACCATGTTGGGACCATGGGTATTGACAAAGGGTACTTGCCACACGGGACGGCTGCTGACAGGCAAAGACCCAACTCTAATGAAGGGGTTCGCCACCACGAAAACCTCACATTTACCATGACCCGTCCCGAACTCCCTCAGCACTCCCAGAAATGCAGCCCACCCGGTCAAGGCCCCACACTCCAAAATGCTAACAGAGTAACCAGTTCAGGATTCAGGAAGCAGCACTCACAGGCTCAGGAAGACGGCTGGCCCACTGGACAGCGCCACTGTGCGTGGGGACACCACGGCACACCAGCAGCCTACTGCGGTGCTGTGCCAGGGAGCTCTGGGGAAAGAGGGCAGCCACAGTGGCGCTGTCAGGCCCCACCAGGGGTGCCGGCCACCAGCAGCACTCACTCCACAGGCTGGCAGAAGAAATGGAAATGGACCCATGCACATGTATACCGCACCCCATTTCCCAGATGGGGGCCCCCAGAACCACTGCTGTCTCTACTATCTGGTGTATGACAGCACAGAATCTCAGCAGGGAAGAGCATCTTAAATTCTAGCTGCAGCAGCAGAGCAGCCAGTGCCCACAGCACAGGACAGGACAGGACAGGAAGAGACTGGACTGGCTCACAGGGGCTGCCTCCTCACAGACGTCCAGCTCAAGGTCATGAAGTAGGTGGTGCCACCTTTCTGGAGGCGAAGATTCTCGGTGCAGCTGGACAGGCACCCGACTTGGCGCTTTAGGGCGGGTTCCCTTCAGCACACCCCGAGTCTGTGAGGACAGCCTGCTCCCTAGCTTCCAGCAGAGGCGATGGCGGTGCCCATGTGCGCAGCCGTGTGTAAGCTGTTCAGAAACTTCGCAAAGTCAAAGGTAGAGAGGAACCACCACCACCAAAGTGACCACACGGAACCCCCAACAGGACCTCGGAGTGTCCGACTCACAGTCCTCTGCCCCCAGAAAACCAGGAACGCACACCCAGCTTTGAGTCTCGGAACTCCCCAGGCCTCTGCCTGGGCACCGCAGAGCTCTGACCCCCAAGGCCTCACTCCCTTGGTCCGTGGCAGCCTGAGCCTAACCTGCATTCGACCAGGCACCTCAGCCTGCAGTGGGGGGTGGCTGGTGAGTCCGAGGCACACAGGCGCATACAACCACAACTTCTGACGAGATTTTCTCTCAACGGACAACACAACACGAGAAAACAAACAAACAGAACACACATCCTTGTCCTTCACGTGCGCCCCCTCTTCTGCCTCCATCTCACACAGACGCTCCAGCCAGGGTCTGTCTCAGGAGTCTTTGAAATCAACATCTTTTTTAAGACCGCAAAACAGACAAGAAAGAAACAATAAAAAAGACGGATTTCTTTACACAGATTTAAGCCAGTAATTTTTAGCAAAATGATACAAAACTGTCTTAACCAAGTAGAAGACTGGTAGTTGCAGTGGGATCGTCAGGGAGCACAGGTTCGCCACCACTGGAGGGAGCTGCGGCTCTTGACAGGGAGTTGGGTTCTCTATGCGAGTCTCCCACACTCTGCTCTTCTGCCCAGCCCTGTGGAAACCGGGCTCACGTGGGGGCCACGCCGGCAGCCCCTGGCGATGGCGGCTCTCAGAGCCTGTCCATTTAGTTTGTTTTGAT